TGAAAAAGAATTTTTATATCAGTTCTATTTTATTCTGGTAATATACAGGGTGGGCCAAAATAACAATACCTAACTTTGAATGAGGATAAAAATAGCTATGTCCAATATTAAACATTGATTTATATATCATTTTAAAGGTAATCCATTTTCAAACAATTTGGTATGTAACACTATGTCATGAAATCAATATTAAAGTTTTATTATACTTATTTGGGAGGCCAGGTTACCTTTTAAGGTCTCCAGATTTTAGGGAGAAAAAGGCAAATCTGCAGAATAATGTTAATTTTTTATTTGTAAAATATCATTTTGTTAGGTAAATACATGGTTCTATATGTGCATAGTTGTGTGACTAAACGTATTGTTTATGAATTTCAGTGTTGTTCACTTTCAATAAGTACTCAAAAGGGTTCAGTTAAAAGACATTAAACATATATGTGACGAATTGCCTCGTACCATAGATCAAAGGAGACGTTGGCATTTCTTTGCGAATAAGGTGTCAATTTGATTGATATTGATGCTTGGCCACCCAACAGCCCCGATGTTGATTGCCATACTTGGAGCAATCTCAAAGAAATGGTACAATCACAAGCATCCAATAAACAGCATTGATGAGCTGAAACAGAATCCTAAAGTGCTGAAATGAATTGCAGCAGAAATCTCTCAATAAGGCTATTGATAGATTGAGCTACCACTTGAAGCTTATTGTTGACATAGAGGAGGAAAGGGGGGGGGTATATTGAGCAATTGTTAAAATTGGTTAAATAAATAAAGTGTAAAATGTTATTAAACAGCGGTGATATTCATAAACAATAAATATAGTCATACAATGATGCAAATATCAATATCCAAGCATGATATTCTATAAATAAAACATTAACATAATTCCCTAGATTTACTATTTCCCCCTTAAAATCTGGAGACCTTAAATAGCAACCCGGCCTTCCAAATAAGTATAATAATAAAACTTTACTATTGATTTCATGACATAGTGTTATATACCAAATTGTTTGAAAATGTATAACCTTTAAAATGATATGTGAGTCAATGTACCATACTGAATGTAACTATTTTTATCCTGATTTGAAGTTGGGTATTGTTTTTTTGGCCCACCCTGTAAGATAATCAAGATTTAACACATGTCTCTGGTAGATACCCTTTCTCCGCACATACTCTACTGACTTATGTATTAAGTGCCCTATTTGTAGTGAACACCTACTGATAATGAATGTTTCAAGCAAAATAAGTTCAATATACAGTTTTGCCCTATATTGATTCTCTTCAAGATTTTCAGGGATTTCTAAAGAAAATATCTGCAAATGTGTGCTACATAGTCCCAAGTACTTTATTTCCTTAATTCATATGCATTCTGCAATATTTGGTAAAACCTAACCACTATGGTACTATTAATTGATGGGAGGGATGAGAATTAATCTCTGTGTTAACATGAGTGACCAAGAAAGCAATTTGTTACAATGAATGATAGCCACTCTGCCATCATTCACCCTAATCAGATAAGATTGATAGATCAACAGATCAAATCAGGTCAAACGATCAATTTATCTGTTCACTTTTGGTGTGTTTTCACTACAGAGAGGCAATTTTGTACAGAACTCAGTGGAGTATATGCTGAGAAGGGGTGTTCGCTAGACACAGGTGTTCAATAGAGAGGTGTTCAATGAGACAGGTTTTATTGTATATCGATTTATTGTATGTAGATTATTTGAAAATAATTGAATGCTTCCTTTTTCAAAACTGGGGCAACTTTAGTGAAGCTCCTTACATCGGGAAACACTAATTATAACATTTAGTTTGAACTCACCTGGTGAATTGAAAAGTTATTTATAGTGCGGATATATACATCATCATGATGAACCATGACATTTCATTTCTCCTCAGTCTTGAGAATTTTCCAGTGAAACAGAAAGATGTGATGAGTATCAGAAGGGGGATACATTATCTAAAGTACATCTTTTGGTACAGGGTTTAGAAAAAGGAATGGTCTGATTTTCTCCACCTTGCCAAAATGATCCTCATTCCTTATATATCATTACTATTCATTAGACTTTTTGTTTATAACTCATTCCATGGATTAATCTGCTAGAGATGTCAATGGGATCGTTGAAGCAAATGAAACTGTGAATCAATTCAAATATGAAAATATGGAATCATTTATATATTCACATTTTATGATCCTGAATCCTGGAAATATTCCTGTGGGGGATTCTCTCAAGAATTTATTTGATAACTTCTTCAATAATACTTTTGGACTTAAGACTGTAGAGGGCAAATTCATGGTTGTTACAAAAGCATTGGCTATTATCAAATTGTAAGATATTTTGCCGGAACATAATGTAATATACATTCTTAGCTGCCAGGACAATTTCTAGCAAATGATGTGATACTACAGGCCCCTCCGAAGGATTTCCTGAGAGGGGGGCAATTTTCGATTTGTTGTTACAGGTGGCAAATGACCCAACATATGGCACCAGTTCTGGGTGGTGATGTAAATATGGCAAAGTTGAGTTAGGGAATAAAGGCACTCAATGACCAGGCCAGGAGCCAGCGGGGGGGTTCAGGGGGGGGGGGGTTCAAAATTCTTTCAAAATCATGCTATTTCTTACCATTCTGAGCACTTTTCAAGTGATTTTGGGCCAAAGTTGTCAAATGTGAGCCCCCTACAAATTTTTTGAAACAATGCAAATTATTATGTAACTCAACTATAAACTCTTGACAAGGCCCCCATGGAAACAAACTCTACCACATTTGCAGTACATTTCTAGTTCTAGTAAAACATTAATGATTGGTAGCTATGTAAAAACGTTTGATCCATACTCATTTAAGGACATAAAAATTCTATTGCCTTCCTCATTAAAGATGAACTTGATTAAGTATTATACTTTATTATTCCTTGTTGTATAGTAATTTAACGATAATGTGGCCTAATTAACATGCTGTGTATAAGTTAGTACTATTTTCTTAATTAATCCCAGTTAGGGAATGGTGAGAAATCGCAGGGGCAGATCTGAAAACTAACAAGGGGGACATTCAAGTCATAAAAAATTTTGGGCAACCTAAAACTGAGCTAAAAATTTGGAAAATTTAAGGCCCTCTATATGATTTGGCATAATATTAAAAAATAAGGCTTAAAGAGGCCCAGTAATGCCCAAAAGGCCCACAACTGAGACCAACATCCTGGGGGGAGGGGGGGGGGCTAGATCCGCCAGTGTTTTAAGGATGGCTGACTGACTTGCTCAATTCGTGTATGGCTAATACATACATTGAACACATGTGATAATATGATATAGGTTCTAAAAATTATTTCAATTATTAGTTTCAAAAAGTGACTATGACTTTTCTACCATTATTCACATTCTACTGAGTGCTAACAAGAGATTTCATTGCCAAACCATTTACTTTTATTTTCACATGTGTATTTATTATTTCTGAGCATCTTTCTTTGGTAAGACAGTGCTGGCCAGTTAGCAGGGGTTTCGTTAGCAGCAAGGCCACAGGCGATTTTTACGTGTTGTTTTCACAAAATGGCCTGTTGTTACTTTTCAACTTTTCCATGTTGAATTTATGATTTCCATATTCGTGTGAAACCCCTGAGTTAGGGTCATTTGTAATGACAGGTTTATATAAGAAGAATTGGCTGGTGGCAAAACACCAGAACAAATACATGCAGCTAATAGAAAAGCCTATCAAGTGGTATTAATTTGCAAAATCATGTAATGATGCTCCTACTTACAGGAAAGGGAAATCTAATAGCCATTACTGTACATATTATGTCCAAATTGGGAACAATACAAGAACCGAACATAAGTCGTGTAATGCATGCAAAAGTAGTATTGCTTCAAGGCCCTCGATCACCCCCCCCCCCATCGTCTAATTTAACAACAGACATGGTCTTGAAGCAAGACTAATGCAAAAGTGAGAACACTAGATCTGAAATTTGATACTTAAATACTTTAATGTGAATCAGAATCATTATAACAAGATATTAACATGCGAAATCTCACCACCTACCATTTGTTACAGATACCAAACGCCAGATGCCAGACATGAAACGTCGACACAAAAATGGAGGCCATTACCAAACGTCATCACTTTTGGTGGTGACATTATTCAAAGAGTCTAAAGGGCCTAAACTGCATTCTAAACATGATTTTCAAACCTAGATCGATATTCTGCAATCAATTATTTGGGTTATGAATATGCATAAACATTTCAAAATTTTATGAATTTCACTACAAAAATGTTACTTCTAAAGTAAGCTAAGTTTGTAGTGTTGTTCTTTATGACCAATAATACACAGTATTTACTGATACTAATCATGCCAATGCAAGATTAAATCTCCCTCAACAAGAATAATCAAGTTGATTACTAGACATTGAACTTTTGAGAACTCCCCTTAGAAAAAATGATATTTTCTCTTATTTATAATTCATCATGCATTCATATAAAATTATGATAGTGTATGCTTTATCTTCTGTAAATCACCCATATTCATTTATATGGAAAACATCATTTTTCATAAGGGGAGTTCTCAAAAGTTCAATGTCAAGGTCATTTCAATGGCATCTCTAGATACATTGGAATGGAATTGATGAGACCTTGAACTAACATTGTGGTGACCTTGAAATGACATTCTAGTTACCTTGAAATAACATTGTGATGACCTTAACATGACTGGCCATGACTTGACCCTGAAATGAATCAAATGACCTTGACACTAGTGACCATGACTTAACCTTTAGATAATCAATGCTTGAGATGACCTTGACAAAACTGTTATGTATAAATCTGAAATAAACTTGATCAATAAAAAGACCCATGCCAGAATCTACATATATTAGGTTTGAAGACAAATAAGTATATAAACATGCACATGACATAAAAGTAAGTTTTCTCCAGGACCTTATTTTCAATAAAGAAAAAAATGAAAAATGAAAAAGCTGGAATATTTGAAATAAAATAAATCAATCTGATATTGGCATGACATGATATACTGCCGTAAACTGGTATATAAAAGACTACTAACTTTAACCTTGGTAGTCAGATTGAATAGGAAGCTCAGAGAGAAAGCAGGTTTCAAATACAACTTACTTGTTACCAAGGTAACCACAGTAACCGCAAATACTAAATTCAAAGACTGGTCAAGAAGGACACAATTGTACATTTATGAACCTATACAACAATATGTAATTCAACTGGGTTGCATACAGTATTTAGTTTGGACATACCATAGAGAGATCTCAAAGGATCCTGAAGGTAATCATTATCATCATCACAGTTCTTTTTGCAAAATGAAAACAAATTTCAGGTGAATGTACATATAGCACTATAATCATGCGTTAATTCAAGGATTCATAATAATTATTTATTACATCATAAAAGTAAATCCTTTATTACAAATTGATAAGTTGCGGAGGAGGATTTCAAATACTTAATTAACAGTTAATTCAATACTGACATTAAGTTATTTCACGCCTATTGTTAATTAGAGCTACAATTCTGTATTTTTAGACACAGGACTTTACTAGGAGAAAGGCAAATTATTTCACATTTGAAAATTACAGGCGTGAACTGGTTGAGTTGTCACTTCATTAACCTCTTGATGAAATCCAACATTTGAGAAACTGCGTATCAAAGTAAGGTAAGAAAAATGTTTGACAGGTTGTCTTCAAAATAACTTAAATTCATTTTACATTTGAGTGAAGATGTCTCTTTTGACGAATTGTACACAAACATTAATCTTAAGAGCTATATTTAATGTGTACAACACTTTGGCTTATATTGTAGTTTAACAAAAAAATATTTGTTGTTTATGGTATAGGCTTTATTTGCCTCAGGTGAAAAAATTATACTATAGATTACACCTTCATGAAATTCAATATACTGTACAATACAATCTTTGATGATCAAAAAAACTTTCAATTTGTCAAAGTGAACACATAGTGATCTCATAAAAGGTTGTTTGTTCTTGGTTATGATATGATCAGATTGCATGCAGTAGAGAGATAGTACTATATCAAACTAGTAAATCTACAATTCCCTGGAGTAGCAAATCCCACCTAGAAACATATTTTATCAAATCGCTTTTAATTCGAACATTCTATGACAGAACATAACCAAGCCGTAGTGTTACATTTTTTTGGCAAAATGTACACCTCCAGGCAATGAACAAACACCTACTTTTTACAGTAACTATTTCATGAACAGTTTTTCAGTTTTTTCAAACATCTTTAATATAAATGCATTTTAATGTTCACATATATCATAATATATTTGATTAAAAGAATTTACAAAATTTACATAATTCTGTTGTATTAAATACATTTTAAAAAAAAAACAGAATAGGTAAATATTATTTAGTATCTTCAGGAGTATAGTAAAGAAAGATGTATTTTTGTACATGAATATAAACATCCCATATATTTTTATCAATTAAGCTATTATAGTGATATATTGAGACCTTTCTGCAGTGATTTTTTCTCTTAGATGTGTTTGGCATGTAGTTTTTTGCAGTAAATTTCTTGGAATAATGATTTATTGAGCATTAAATTTGCATAGAAAGAAAAACAAGCCACTATTTTTTAACATCTACAGTTATGGTTCCTAGTCAATTTATTTAAAAATATCTGACTAATTTGCCGAGAAATAATGTTTCCTGTTGGTAGGTGTTTACTACAGAATGGACTTGGTTGTTAACCAGATTATCTCAAAACCAATCAATGCTAGACACATATCCTGTCCTACAAAAACAAAGCTAACTAAGAATTATAATTAGGCAGGTAGGTGTTCACTATAGGATTGTACTTAAACATGTAAATGGGAAAAAAGGTTTTGCTGAAAAAATGTTCACTGTTGATAGGTGTTCACTAGAGAGATGTGTTCACTCACTCAGGTTTTACTGTATGTATTCAAATAACTCCCACTCATTCAGCTTTTACTGTATGTATTCAAATAACTCCCATTCACTCAGGTTTTACTGTATGTATTCAAATAACTCCCATTCACTCAGGTTTTACTGTATGTATTCAAATAATTCCCATTCACTCAGGTTTTACTGTATGTATTCAAATAACTCCCACTCACTCAGGTTTTACTGTATGTATTCAAATAACTCCCACTCACTCAGGTTTTACTGTATGTATTCAAATAACTCCCACTCACTCAGGTTTTACTGAATGTATTCAAATAACTCCAACTCACTCAGGTTTTACTGTATGTATTCAAATAACTTCCACTCACTCAGGTTTTACTGTATGTATTCAAATAACTCCCATTCACTCAGGTTTTACTGTATGTATTCAAATAACTCCCACTCACTCAGGTTTTACTGTATGTATTCAAATAACTCCAACTCACTCAGGTTTTACTGTATGTATTCAAATAACTCCCACTCACTCAGGTTTTACTGTATGTATTCAAATAACTCCCACTCACTCAGATTTTACTGTATGTATTCAAATAACTCCCACTAACTCAGGTTTTACTGTATGTATTCAAATAATTCCCACTCAGTCAGGTTTTACTGTATGTATTCAAATAACTCCCACTCACTCAGGTTTTACTGTATGTATTCAAATAACTCCCATTCACTCAGGTTTTACTGTATGTATTCAAATAACTCCCACTCACTCAGGTTTTACTGTATGTATTCAAATAACTCCAACTCACTCAGGTTTTACTGTATGTATTCAAATAACTCCCACTCACTCAGGTTTTACTGAATGTATTCAAATAACTCCCACTCACTCAGGTTTTACTGTATGTACTCAAATAACTCCCACTCACTCGAGTTTTACTGTATATATTCAAATGACTCCAACTGATATTATTGTGTAGCTATCATAAGTAATGCAAATTATGTCTACTAATTATCTTAATATCCAGGAATAACATTTCCATTGTGTTGCCATCAAACTATTGAAAGCTGCTGATTATTATGACAAATGGTTGTTTTTGTATTTACAAACAAATGCCAACGTCAGATTTATGAAAAGGTAAATAAAAGAGGAAAACATTTAAGTTTATAACTCTTGGCATAATAATACACGTTACTATATCACTGATATATAATATGTCCCTCTACGGGATTATCTCAAGAATATATTTCATTAGTCTGCAAAAAACCTCTTGTTAAAAAAGGCTAAAATATTTTTTTTCCTATTTCCAAGATTTTCTATAATTTGATTAAACTTGGTTGAGTGACTGTTGTTTACATGGAAATGTCAACAAACGTTTCAACTGGAATCATCAAAGACTTATATTTCTTTAAACAGACAGCTAAGCTAATTTATTGAAAAATTCTGCAGAATTTCTGCATCATGAAAATTGCAAATTGTTAGAGAAAGTGAAATGAGATGTTATATGTAGCCAGGAGTTTAACCTCAACTATTCCAAATAAATTGCAAGAAGTAAATGAGAGCATTTGTCAATGAATGCTGCAAAAATGAACTCTTGAGTGAGGTTGACAGTATTATGAACAAACACGTGAATACAATTATATCTAAAAATATATTTAAGTAGCAGATAATCAGTGTAGACAATTACAAGAGAGTGAGCAAGAATGAAAACATTTTAATCATAACTTATAAAATCATCTTTGTTGTTGTTGTATTTTGGTTACCACCATATTTTGGCATGCAGTTAATTTAGTATATTCCATATTTAATATTTTACATTTTAACATGTTCATGTATATGACAATACAATCAAAGACAGAGCAAGAACCCCCCCCCCTATTTTTTATGTGCAACCAATACACAGATATACAAGTACATACCACACCCTTTTATACACGTTGTGAAAAACTCAGTCAAACACCCAGAATTGCTTAATGCACAAACAAATTTTATCTGAGCCTGGATTTGAACCCAGGGCGAAGCGATAGTGGTAATCAGGGCTCTGCAAATGAGCCATAGCCGGAAGGTTCGAACCTTCACTGTGTACAAAATTCAGCGGGGGTCCTAGGATGAACCCAAGATATCAATATATTCCCATACCAAATGTCAAATTTGGATGTGTTCCCATACCAACCAACATAGTGCCCAAAACCCATACCAAAATGTTCAAATATGAGGCCAATGCCATACCAAATGTGTAAATATAGGACCAATGCCATACCAGTGCTATGATTGGTCCAAAGTAGAATATTTCCAAGGGAAAAAGCTAATATTTAAACTGAAGATGTCCCAAGAAGAAGGCGATCTTTGACAAATACGTTCTAAAACAACCTCAAATTAAGGATATGTGTAACTACTAGACCAATGCCATACCACAATTGTGAGATAACATATTTTCCACGACCATTTTTATACCAGAAAATGGAAAAATCTGAGCATTGCAATACCCCAAAAGTCATAATTTGAAGGCATTCTCATTCCAGATCCTAAAATATGGGTCTATTACCATACCAAATGTCAAAAAAGGTAACCCATGTGCGCCGAGGATCCCCGTCAAGGTTTATATACAGTGAACTCCCCGGGGCCATAGCTCAGGGTTGTTAAGACTAAAGCAATGTGAAAGAGCATCTTTCTTTGGCGCATGATGTCCCTTTTTCGAACAAAAGATATTTGAAATACACTGAGAGGTCCATAACTCATATAAAAGGCAATGGTGTGTGCTTTTATCTTGGCATTGTGGTGTTTTATATATACAGGGTAGGCCAAAAAAACCAATACCCAAGTTCACTGGTCAGTATCAAGTGAAGGTAACAGCCGTCACCTTTGCATCAAACATGATGGACAGGAAGTGTCGATTTCGATATTTTTAGTTTTCATTGATTTGAACTACTTTAAAGTTGACGTCATGCTTTGATATTTGACCTAAACCCGACTTATATGACATGAAAACTCTGGGCGCCACAGTTCAAGGATATCTTCCACTGAGTTAAGGGAAGGTGACTGGGATTTTGGTTTTACAGATGATAAGATACCTGATATGCGGTGATGCGGTAACGTTATGAGAGTTTATAATGGAGAGCTAAGATTTCTCGTTACCATGTATTGAAAACTAACATGACCGTTACCCTATCTTATATTTCCAGTTTCCTTGAACTGTGGCGCCCACGCATGATATATGAACAAATCATATTCCATAGTTCCCATGTCATATGAGTCTGATTTGGTTCAAATATCAAAGCATTATGTCAACTATAAAGTAGTTTAATTCGATGAAAACTAAATATATCAAACCGACACTTCCCATCCGCCATCTTTGATGCGAAGGTGACGGCCATTACCTTCGCTTGATACTGACCAGTGAAGTTTAAAGATGAACGATTCATATGATATATGTTAAACCATGCAATGTATTATGTATATATCATTTCAAAGATAAATCATTTCCTTACAAAATGACACCATCCTGTCCAATTGATTTCTCGTGGATTTAGAGACTAAAATTGATCAAAAATATATAAGTACCATTTTTGAATTTTGCACAAATGTATCTCTTTTGAAGGTGACAAAGTTCACATTTTCCTCCATTTTCCACAATTTGGAAATCTGCAGTGAATAATTTTTTGGTTGCTCATGACACCCCTGGTGTCCATTATAGCCTCTAACTCCAAAAGAAAACAACGTTTTTTCAATCAGATGGAGTCAAATCATTAGGAAATGATATATAATACATGGCATGGTTTAACTA